ATTTATATATTGACCCACAATTAAAAAGTGCGATATTAAAATATATAAAATATTGAGCAGCCGTGGTGCAGTGGTTGTGCACTTGCCTCAGAAACAAATGATCCGTGGTTCAAACCCTACCTCTGGGCAAGTTTTGCGACACCGGTTAGGAAGGAGGCGTGAACTTCCGATTAAATGCTCATCCGCGGTGCTCTGTGATCGTAACAGATCGTGACCGTAAGGACTTCTTGGGGCACCTAAAATAAAAAAAAAATAATAATAAAAAGAAGAAGAAAAAAAATTATTCATTAAGGCATTCAAACTAAAACTTTCATAAACAAAGTGACAAAAATACTTTAAATTAAAAGCTATTTATATCTTTTTTGCATATTTCAGAACGAATAAGATAAAAAGGTTTATTATATTATATTAAGTAATTTTTTGTTTTGTTTACAAAACAATAAAAAGTGATTTGAAATATATCGTGCTTTATTATTTACATCTTTAAGATTTTTTAGTAAATTCCATAATTATGCGCATCCCATAATTTCATGTTTTTCCTAGTTTATATTTATAAGTTAAAATAAAAAACTGTTAATAAAAAAACTAGAAATAGAAAACAAAACAAAAGGTTATTGCATCTTTCAAAGTTTATTATTAAATAATAATACATTATTTATTATTTTATTATGTTTTTTGTTGTATTATGTTATTACAATAAGGAGACGCCAAAAATAGATTAAAAAAGAAGTTAAGTAACAATTTAAGAAATACTCTTGCTGGATGAAACAGAATTGTAATAATTTTATTTCTGGATAATTTTCTTTTTTTCTCTTTTTATTTTTTTTTTCAAGTTTATTTTAAACATGAAAAATAAAAAAAGTTATATTTTTTTTAATCTTTTTTAATTTTTATTTATTTAGTAGAGAACTTTTTATTTAATTTTTCTATACTTCTATTTATAAAGTATTTTCTATATTTCTATTTTTAGTATATTTATATTTTTGCTATTCTTTCATTTTAAGAATTTATTGTTTTTAATGTTTTTTTTGTTTGTTTGTTTCTATTATGTGACTTTATTGTAAAGCTGAAAATTAAAAACAAGAAAATAATTTAATATAGTAAAATATCGTGTTCTTATTTGAAATTTCTACACCCAAAAAAAATTATACTAACTTTAGTCATGTATGAACATCTGAACCTGAATGAATGTGACCACTACTTTATGTTTTTAGGCTCTTTTACAGAATTTTACGAAAACCTTAACATAGTCTCAATGAGTTGTTGGTTGCAACGGGTTGGGTTTCATTAAATCTTACTTACCACAATAAATAGGGGGCTTATCTTTTTTTTTATATATAAATGGAAAATATACTCAAAAAGAAATTTTGGGCATTTTTTCCTTTTATATAAAAAAAAAAGATTTTTATTGTGGTAAGTAAGATTTTTATTGAAGTAAGCTAAGACTTCTTTTAAGATTTATAACATCGATTTAAAAGAATATGATATAAAAAAGAATTAAAAGAATATATCATATTCTTATTTTATTTTACTTTGATGCCTTTGAAGAAAACACAGCAAAAAACAAAGGATCACAATGTGTCTGTGCGTGTTTGAAGGGATATAAAGGATATATTTTGTTAAAGTATTATATGTAATATATCATGAATAAAATTTAATAGACGTTAAAAGACTTAATCTTAGAACGCTTCTCCTTTATTAAACAATCTTTTATTCTGGTTGCAGCAGACGTAAGTTGGATCTAGTTGCAGCAGACGTTGAAACAGAGTTGTTATTTTATTATCATATAGTTTGATTAATAAGAAATTTATCAAATAGAATTAAAATTTAAACAATTATTAATAAAAGTTTTATTTAAGCGTTATAGTTAGTGCTAATTTTCCATCTTTAAATAAAATCAGAAACAAGGCAAAGTTAATATGATTATTGAAAAAATGTTAAATTTTAGTGAATTTTGAATAAATAAAACTAACTTGTTGCTAATTTCTCCATACTTGATATGTATACTAAATGATTTAAGTTGATATATTTATATATGAATATATATATATATATATATATATATATATATATATATATATATATATATATATATATATATATATATATATATATATATATATATATATATATATATATATATATATATATATTGATAAATGTTGTATACTGCTGGAAATACAACTCTTGCCTGTTTAAGAGTGAATATATATATATATATATATATATATATACATATATATATATATATATATATATATATATATATATATATATATATATATATATATATATATATATATATATATATATATATATAAATATATAAATATATACATATATGTATATATATATATATATATATATATATATATATATATATATATATATATATATATATATATATATATATATATATATATATATATATATATATATATATATATATATATATATATATATATATATATATATATATATATATATACACACTCATATATGCATATACTATATACTTTGCATAAGTATAGTTAAACATATAATTAGGCATAATAATAAAATATAACATATTAAAAATATCTAATTTATTGCAAGTATGATATATCTAATGATTCTGAAAAGTGTTGCAATTGTTGTACAATATTTTTCGGGGAAGACTAATTCCCGTTTTCTCCCTACTTGTACGCTCTAAAAGCAAAGATCTAATCATGCCCTTGGATACCATTAAAAACTCAAGGTATTTTTGCTCTTAATTGTAGTTATATTGAGATATTGTTATTCTTGACTCGCATTCTTCACTTAACTAAACGCTATTGTTGTGTGTAATTTCCGAAAACTCTTGGCTTTTTTTGTTTTTCATGTTTTAATTTCCGTTTTAACTTATTTTTTTATTTTATTTATTTATATATTTTGTAAAGCTAATATTAAATACTTACTTAACAAATAAATTCATGTTAAATATTGAAAAAAAAATTTATTAACTTTTTTCAAATATTGATTTTTTAACTATATTTTAAACAATTTTTTCAATTAATTTTACTTTTTACTGAAAATAGCATTAAGTCCAAAATTAGTTCTTTATAATTAATTATTTTAACTTAAAAAATAGCAAAATTTCAATATATTTTATTTTATACTTTCCTGTATTTGAAAGAAATGATGCAATGCACAAAGCATTTTACAAGAACATTATCTAAGTTTTTTACATTTAGAAACTTAAAAAATCTTAAGAAACTATACTTTTAAAATGCTATTAGATTTTAAAAACATATAATAATTTCTTATACTTTACATAACCTAATTCTATATATTTTATTTATTTAAATATATTTATTTATTAGTAACTTAGCGAACATTTGTAGCGAAGATACATGGAAACATTTAACTAAAAAACATAGAGATATGCTTTTCATCCTTTTAAAATTCCTAGAACTTAGTCTAATTCTTTGCATATATTTGTTCATATGTAATTATATTTATTATTTTATAAATTTGTGAAATCAAATTTCCATTTAATATCCAAATTTCCATTTAATATCCAAATAACATTGCTTAACAACATAATTTAACGTTCGGTTCGATGTTTGATGTACTTGACCAATTATTATTACACTTTTTCCATTAGCGTAAATGTTTTATTTTACTCTCTTTAAATATTATAACAGTTTTTTTTTATATTGCTTTGTTGGAAAATAAAATTTGATCTTATAGTTCAGCAACAAAATTGGAATGTTTAGTTGAACAATAAAATCATAATAAATTTTTCAAATTTAAAAATTTAAACTAAAAAAAAAAACTCTTTAAAAAAATAACTTCAAAAAAAAATAAAAATTAGACTAAATTTTTTTTCATATGCCATATTACATAAAACTAGTGATTTCAACATGCATATTTTCCTGAGTTTCAACAACTATTTAAATATAGTGAAACAAACATTGTTACAAACTGTTTGTTTCACTATATATTAAACAGTTTTTGTATTTAATAGTTTTATACTTGAAAATAATTATTTTTTTATAGAAATATGTTTTTGAAAAATTGTTATATTTATTAGACATAAAAAAATTATATATAGATAAATACAGTGTTCTTTGTAATATGATACAATATATTATATCAGGTAGAACATTGTATTTATTTATTTATATATATTTTTTGTATTCATTTTATATATTAGATAGATAGAACATTTTATTTATTACATTTGTAGATAAAACAAGATTATACTGAGGGGATGATATAAATAAATATATATATATATATATATATATATATATATATATATATATATATATATATATATATATATATATATATATATATATATATATATATATATATATATATATATATATATATATATATATATATATATATATATATATATATATATAAATGATATTGCGTTTAAACTGTTATTTAAATTACTTAAAATTATTTCTTTCCCATTTATTTTGTTTTATAAGTATTTAGAACAGATAAAAAGTATATATATTTTTAAGTTATAAATATTTATAAAAGTTATTGAGAAAGAAGTTTTTTCTATTTTAGTTTTTCTAAAAACAGATAAAACCAAAAAAGACATTTTCTGATTACATTGATAAATTATATAGATTTTTATTCTGTTGAAATTTTGGAATTGTGGTCACACTTTTGTATTTAATTTTTATTATAATTTTTTATTATAATTTTTTATAATTTTATTATATTTTTTGTTATATTTTAATTATATTATATTTCTTTGAATATGCGTGAAGTTTAAAACAGTGAAATTTCCAATGGCAAGGCCGTTTTTAAAATACAATAATTATAAAATCATGGAGTCGGTGAATGTTAAAAGGGCGGAAGTCCAATAATATAAATTTTCGGTAAATTAAAAAAACTGTATTTTCCCCCATAGTAAATTTTTGTTAATGGTTCAATAATTTTTTTTTTGAAGGTGAAAAACATTATCCTCTTTGAAAAAAGTTATTAAACCATTAACAAAAATTTACTACGGGGGAAAATGCAGTTTTTATTAGTTTCCCGAAAGTTGACATTGTTGGACTCCCTTTTAACATTCATTGATTCAATTTTTTTAAAAGCTTTGTCATCATATAATCCAACAAGTTAAAACATGTAACAGCAACAATGAGATGTGTTTTTAATATATTTTTTGTATTCCGTGCAATCTTTAAACAGTATATATTTCAATCAAGTTGCATTTTTATAAATGGACAATAAAAATCAATATTTCACAGAACAAACAGAAACTCTAAAATCTACGAACAATAAAATTAAAAAAGATGTAATACACGAAAATATTTGCGAAGTTTTTCTGAACAACCTTCAACAACCAGATTCCTATTTTGAAAGCTTATTTGTTGAAAGCGACAATATACATTCAAAAAACGACGTTATACATTCAAAAAGCGAAGTTATACATTCAAAAAGCGATGCTATACATTCAGACGTTATGCATTTAAAACCAGTCATAACCCAAGTAAACAGTTCGCCCTTTTCAGTTTCAAAAATTAATTTAAACTTGAGCAATCTAGTCTCTTTGGAAGAAATAAAAAACTCTAACTTGAAAAAATCCAATAGTAAAGAAAATGAAATTCAATTTAAACTATTATCGAAAGAAATTGAACAAATAAAACTTTTACTTAATGAACTCTTCTCCGAAAGAAATAAAGAAATTGTAACTACACGAGATGTCGGAACTATAACCGTCGATCAAGTAAAAGATACAAAAACTCGCATCAAAATAAATATTGGCGGTGTTACTCACGAGACGTATCGCAGCACTTTAAAAAACATTCCTGACACAAGACTTAGTTGGATTGCTGAAGAAAGCGCAATTCAGTCACCAGAGTACGATCCTGTTGCAGGTGAATTTTTTGTGGATAGAAACTCTCATGTTTTTTCTCATATTTTAAACTATTACAGGACAGGGTATTTGCATGTACCTTACGATGTTTGCGGACCACTCTATGAAGAAGAGTTGCAATACTGGGGTATAGATGACTCTCAAATTGAACCTTGTTGCTGGCTTAACTATAGACAACATAGAGATGCACAGGAGACATTAAAAGAATTTCAAGGTAAATTTTTTATAAATTCAAAAGACAACGTCAAAATAATTTTTATAAATAATAAAGGCAATATCCAAAAATTTTAAAGTGATTGGACTTGATTAGTATGACTTGATTAGTAGGGCTTGAACAGTTACAGGAGTTTTTTTAAAAGGGTTGACAAATATTCACATATTGTTAGTTTTTTGAATTTTTTTAAAATATACATGAATGCTCTTCAAGCACATATATATAAATTTCAAAAATAACACTTTTTTCATATAAAAATTATTATTTTAGATTTTATTGCATAATAACTATAGTTTTTTAACTAAAAGTGAAAAATAATAGTTTAATAACAATTTTTTTCGGCAATACGATTTTTATAAAACGATTACTATTTTCGAATTTTTTATAAAATTTCCCTTCTTTTGAGTACCAGGTTGATTTACTTTTGAAAAACTTTTTTTCTCTAAAATATTAGGGTACTGGTAATTTTCCCAATAAAGTTGCGTCCTTTAAATCTATCACAATCATTCTCATATTTGATAGTATCAATATTAATAACTATTAGCAATGTTTAAAGCCTGTAACATAAAAAAAAAAAATTTTTTGACCCACCCTAATATATACATACATATATATATATATATATATATATATATATATATATATATATATATATATATATATATATATATATATATATATATATATATATATATATATATATATATATATATATATATATATATATATATATATATATATATATATATATATATATATATATATATATATATATATATATATATATATAAGGCTTTTTATTTTTTTTATAGTTTCATATAATGTTAGATGAAATTAGGATGTATTTTGCTATAGCTATTGACCGCACGTACACCCGCACGCACGCACGCACACACACACACACACCTGTTTGTTGACGTTTTAAAACTTAGACCAAAAGATGAGAAAAATATAAACTTAAAATTTTTTTTAACATTTTGTAATCTGATTACATTAAGATTGTATGTTATTTAAAATTTTTAAATAAGTATTTTTTATTTTTTGGAGTCTAATATATTATTTATAGATTATATAAATTTAGAACTTTATGAGCATAAAAGTAATAAGTTTATTTATAAAAAATGAAGTTTTTTAAAAATTTTTATTTAAATAACAAAAAAAAAATATTGCATAACTTAAAAAAAACACTTGTGAACTGCGCAGTCTAAAGAAATGTTTAGTTTAGTGCAATCTAAATTGTTAAGAAAATTGTCTTATTTCTTGAATGCACCTGTAAAATAAAAAATCAAAAAAAAAATATCCTAATTTAACGGCTGATCTTTTAAATCAAGCTTTAAGGTGATCTTTATATACCCATTTTTTTACGGGAACGAGTGAGGGAATGGAAAAGTTAACATGCGAAGTTTTTTTTTAGACCAAAATAAAATTTAAATACGTAATAAAATTTAAACAACGTAAGTTTACGCGTTTTCATTCCTTTTTTCATTCTTTTTCACACCTTTAAAACAGATGCAAGATTACAATTTTTTTATAAATTTGAAGACTTTAATTCATCATAGTATAAAAGTTGATTTATGTGCGAACTTTTTTGGAGAATCAAAAATTGCTAATAAAAGTTTAAAAAAAGTTAACAATCATTACAAAACTTTTTAATTTATTACAAAACTTTTTAATTTATTACAAAACTTTTTAATTTATTACAAAACTTTTTAATTATTACTTTGTAAAGAAATAGTCTAATAGTTTTTATGCAAAGCAAACGATGATATAGTGTCAGAGAGAGGCTGAAGTATCAGAAAGAGGCTAAATTATTGTAATAGGTTTTCTATTTTTAAACATTTTGTATAAATATGAACCTATTTTTTTTAGTCTTTAGACTTCTTCTGTTGTTTTTTATCGCTTAATTAGTGTTCTCGTTTAAGATAAAAATCCACTAAGTTGCGTAGCATTGTACATTTTTTGGTCGATCAATTTCTAACTTAAGGTGGTACACTAATAAAAAAGTACTGATTTTTGAGTAAAATGTCAAAATATAGTTTTTGGATTTTTTTTCAAAATTTATTTGATATAACCATCTTTTATTATTTATTAACATACAACATTTAAAAATTTTATTTTTCACAAAATACTTAACAACGCCTTAGCAACAAAATAAAAACTTATTTAACTCTTTTAGTCAATTTAGCATTTACTTAAAGGGTTAAATAAGCCTTCTTTAAAAACAAACTCCATTATAAATTAAAGTAAAAAATTAAAAAAAGTAGACAAAGGATTCAGTGATAAACAAAAGTCAAATGAAACTAATCTTTCATATGTTTCTGGTGGACATTAAATAAGATTTTACTTGAAAAAAACTTTAAATGTGTTTTTTATAACTTTTAATTTTTGCGATATGGGGTAACTTTAAAACAGAATATCTTTACATTAGCTACTGATTTTTGCCTTAAACTTTTAGCGTATATCCAGAATACTACAAACATTTGGTTAACAGATAAGATTGTAAAAAATTCTTGTTCAGTTTTTTATTGAAACTAGCTAACATGTTGAATCAAATCACTTATATTTCAAACATAATTGTAATACTTCGTGATTAAATTTAAGATAAGTCCTTAAATTAAATATCTGTCAACCGGAATAAAACATTATCATGCATTTATCAACAAAGTTTGAACAAGACAAAATTTATATAACAGAGGATCACAAAGTTATTTAATTTTAGGCATTTCAAGACAGTTTTTCCGCACTTATGGATGTAAAAAATTTAAAAGAGAATTTCATTAAAAAAAAATTTTAAATATATATTTCTCATCAGAAAAATATTAGTTTTTGGTTTTATTACAATTTTCTCCCAGTGGGCACTTTATTACATTTAAAAAACTTATTAATACGTATTATAAACGTTTAAACCGCGTTTTGTGCCCACTGGGTTATTAAAAAAGTTTTTTTAGTCGTGTACCACTTTAAAGTATCGACTTTAAGGTATCGAAAACCCAAGAGTCAAATTAAATAAAAGTTAACAGGAAGATAATTATCTAAAAAATATTTTTATCAAAATGTTTAATTTTTACTTTATTATTATTGTTTACTTTATTTGTTATAATTTTACTTTGTTAAAGAGATTGTAGTTTTTGTTTTATCTTTTATAATTTTACTTAGTTAGCGAGATTATGGCTTTTGTTTTCTCTTCTTCTGTCTCGTAGGTTTAGACATTGAAGATAATTGCGACGATGAGTTTGAATTCGATCTTGTACGTCATGGTTACAAATTTGAAGAATCAACAGGAATTAATCAAAGTTTATCCATTTTTCAGAAATGGCAGCCGTTTATGTGGCGCTTTTTTGAAGGTCCTTATTTATCAAGAAAATCAAAGGTATGTTTAAACTTTAAATAACTTTAAATAACTCTAGTTAAATTAAACTTTAGTTAAATTAAACTTTAGTTAATTTAACTTTAGCTAAATTAATTTTAGTTAAACAATATTTAAATCTAATAAACATATATTTAATGCTATTCAAAAAGTTTAAATCTTAATGAATGCAACAATTACAATTGCATCATGCGGCTAATAAACCGGAACCGCCATAACCCAGTGGTGGATTAAGACTTCTTGGTGTCTGGGGCTATTTTTGTTTTTGGAGGCCTTTTTATGGGCCAGAGCCTAAAAATAAATTAAAAAAAAAAAAAAAAAAGGTTCTCTAAAATTTTTGGGGCCCCTAAATTTGCGGGGCCCGGGGCTATAACCCTCTAGCCCCCTTGACTCGGCACTGCCATAACCACACCCATAACTGGGTTTAAATCAAATTTATTGATTCAAAATATTTTTTTGGGTCATCAGTTTTTTAAAATTTACAAAGGACATTTACTTTAGTTTTATTTCTTTGAAAATCTTTTTTTGCAATAACTGCGCGCAAAAATTTTGCGGACATGTAATTTCAAAAAAATAACTACGCGCAGAAATTTTGCATATTTCAAAAAAATCAAGATTTAGGGGTAAAACAGCAAATTTTAGTTTTTAGGATTTTATTAATTTTTAGTCATCTGTCCTTTGTTTTTAAGTATCATTTCAATACATTTTAGCATGCTTTTAGAGAGTTTTTGAAAATATTGCAGAGACATATCCTGAATTAAAACCCTTTTTTGTCATCAGTTTTGGAATTGAAGTGCAGCACATTCGATGCGTCTTTGATATCATTTCTTTTCAAGTGTTTTCAATTGGATTGAGATCTGGGCTGTTGCTGGGAAACTCCAACAAAATAGTTCCTTTGCTCAAGAACCATGCTATTGATTGTTTTGATATAAGACAACATGCGCTATCTTGCATAAAATAAAATTGATTGATGATTTTAAAAGAGTTCAGAAGTTTTTGTTTTAGACATCTTATATATCGTTTAAAGTTAATTGTTTTATTTTTAGGAAGAACTTATAGTGTTCCTGCCAAAGAATTGAAAAAAAAAAAAAACATACCTGGAATTACTTGGAAAAGTGTCTCTTAGAACAAGTTTGGCTTCAAAAAGATTCAGGCTTACTGTGTTGCATGTCAGCATTTAAAACATTACTTACCGCCACTATTGTTAAAAAAAGAATTACATTTGCTTGTAGGCATAGGAATTGCAAATCCCCTAATGTGGTTGGACGAAAGCAAGTTTTTACTGATGGGTAGAGGCCAAATGCAAGCGCATCGCTTCTGTCTTTCTTACTGTTTCAATCTTAAATACACTCTAAAAACTATCGAACATCGCGCGCATGTAAAGATTTTGGGGTTGCTGTATTGCCAAATAGTGCATATGAACAATATACTTTCTTCCTAAAACTAAAACAGTTAATTCTAAACACTATATTAAGTATTTAAACAAAAACCGAGGTTGCCTTTTGATATTTATCAATCAAATTAATTTATTCAAGATGGCGCACGTAGCCATACATCGAAATAATCAAAAGCATGGTTCTTAAGCAGTTGTATTAACATGTTGGAGTGGCCCAGCAACAGCCCAGATCTCAACCCAATAGAAAATGGTTGGAAGTAAATGAAATCAAAAATTTGTTAAGATTGCTGCATTTTGATTCCAAAATTGATTACGGAAATAAAAAGAGTTTGGGTTCAGGATATGCCTCTGCAATATTTTTAGAAATTCTCTGAAAGCATGCCAAAACCTATTAAACTGGTATTTAAAAACAAAAAGAAGGTGATTAATTATTAGACAAATCTTTAAAGTTAACATTTATAGTTGTGTAACCCTTTCAATCTTTTTTTTTTTGAAAAAACAAAAAATTAAGTTGGTAGTATACAAACTTTTTGCGCTTGCTCGACTAATAACAATTATCATAAAAAAAAATTTTGAAGAAAAAAAAATTATTATATAAAAAATTTAACAAATTTATTTTTAAACTTTCAGATGTGCGCTGGAATAAGTATTATTTTAATAATATTTTCGGTTCTGATGTACTGCATCGAGACAATGAAAATCTTCTCCGATAATACGTCAAAAAATGTGCTGTTGATCTTAGAAGGCTTATGCGTTTTGTACTTTACGACAGAATTTCTACTGAGATTTTTATTTTGTCCTAACAAGTTTTCTTTTATAAAAGGAATTATGAATTGGATTGATTTATTTTCCATCATTCCTTTCTATCTGCAACTCATTCTCGGAAATTATACAAGAATACACAGTTTTTTGCAATTGTTACGCATCATCAGAGTTTTTCGAATAATTAAACTAGCTAAACACAGCATAGGTTTGCAAATCCTTGGTCACACGTTAAAAGCATCGTTCAGACAATTACTCTTACTAATATTTTTTCTTGCAATCAATATTGTTATTTTTTCAAGTTTAGTTTATAATTGTGAAAAAGATGAACCAGATACTGGTTTTAATAGTATTCCAAGCACATTTTGGTGGGCTGTTATAACAATGACAACTGTTGGTTACGGAGATATGGTCCCGAAAACATGGTTAGGAAAGGTTAGTTTGAATGACTTTAAAATTTTCTTAAAGATATTTAATTGTTATGTAGCACTATATTTTTGTATTTACTTGTTACTTATTTTTTTCATATCTTATCTAGACAATTGGTGGACTTTGTGCAGTAAGTGGCGTACTTATGATTGCATTGCCTGTTCCTGTTATTGTCAACAATTTTAATTTGTTTTACTCTCACGCTCAAGCAAGACTAAAACTTCCAAAAAAAAAACGTCGCATGCTTTGCGGAGCAGCAAATGTTTTAAAAAGTAATCGTATCGCACCACATCAAACTTTTAGAGATGAAAAATTATTTTCTCAAATAGAACTACCATCTTCTGAAGATGACCACGGAAGTGTAGCTAAAAGTAAATCGCCGAGTTCAATATGTAAGAAACATTCTAACGTTTTGAAAGACACAAACTGCGTTAATGCAGAAAAAAATGAATTTTATTCACCATTATTTACTTATCCTCGGTCAACTTTACCAGTAATTGAGAATTCCTAAAATATTTTTGTATGATTTTTTAACCCTATACTGGAAAGTCAATTAACTACAAATTTTTTAATTTCTTATCATTTTTGTATCTTACTTAAGAATTCTTAAAACTTACAAAGATTACAAGAAGAAATTGGAAAATGTTTTTTTAAACAATTAATCATAAATTAACTGTAATCTACGATCCATCAAAAAAATAAACTTCTGATTTATTGTGACCTAATTTATTATTTAATCTAATCATACCTTTACACAATAAATCGGAAGATATCTCTAGAATGGAGAGACCTCTAGAAGTAGTGTAGTTTCGAATCCAGTATATGTAGAAAATTGCAGTAATACCTACATTTTATTGCTTTAGCAATTATATAAAAACCTTATTTTGATGTTTCATTATCACAACAAATCAAAATTAAATGTAAAGAAACCCCATTCCTTATTCTCCTGAATTTAAAAAACTGTTGAATCATTAACAGTGACCTTGCTGTCAAAGATAAGTGAAACCTTTTTGTTATGCTCATCCTAAATTTTTTTTGACGGGCGTTATTTTTGACAAAAGGTTTTCACAATTAATTAGTTCACTTTTTCAACTAAAACTAATAATATCAGACTAAGAATTAGATTTGTTGCTTTTTCTTTATTGCTATCTGTTTTTTCTTTGTTGCTTGTTTCTATAATTCTACAGTTCTATAATAATAATAACTTGCAAAATGATTGTCTTAATTGGAAATGTGAAAAAGCATCAGCAAATAAGGCAAAATGCTGGGAAATAATGGCCCATTATATTCTCTTAAAAAATTTATTGGCTAAATAAAGGGCCGTCATACGGTGTTTACAGGAGACCTGATTTTTTTAAAACCAATCTGGTGGGAATGGCTTTCTGTTATACTAGGACATATAAGTAAGATTAGATACTCTAGAAATTTAGTAAAGATAGTTAAATAGTAACTCCACGGTGTTTATCTGAAATATTAAGAGATTTTTTTATATGACAAGTGGAATAACTGTTAAAGTTGATAGATCTTTTGGATTTTTTTAGGAATACTTTAAAAAAAAAATAGAGAGCAACAAAAGAAGTTATTATGAGAGTTTTTAAGGTGTTGTATGCACCCCATAGCTATATGGGAATTTATGATTTATTACAATTTAGTTGTGAGATGCAATATACAATTTCAGTTAGTTTTTGAATCATAATCTCTCCATACTTATTATAAGTTATGGAGAGTTTTCTTTATTCCATCACAATGGAAAGTTTTTTTTACATTTACTATGGAGAGTTTTCTTTAATCAATGTATATTTTGAAATATGATTATTTTTTGTATTATGCTATTTATTACATTTGATAAATTAGTATGCGTAATGGAGATACTCGTTGCTATTGGTATCGCTTAAGTTAAAATATAAATGGAAACAGCTTTGGTATTTATAAAAGATAAAGGTGAATTTCTTAGAGCTGCAATGTGATATATGTAAGATAAGCGAGAGAGAGTTTTATACTGATAGGTGTATGATAGACCAGCGTTTCGATAAGCGAGAGCTTATCGAGAGATATCATTGATGAATTAAAAACTACATATAAAGTATTTACCAAGATGTCAACTTGTTCTAAAAGTCAGTTTATTAGCTTTCAAGCCAACCATACTAGGTTTGTTACAAAATGCAGATGGGTTGTTGCGGATGTTAATGGTACATTTTAATAATCTTTTGATTCTTTGAAAAAAATAAGGAATACAATGCTTCCTCGTATAATGACTGATGTTAAAATAGCTGCTTCTTTGATTAACTGTTTTCATTTAAAATATATACCCGGTAAAAAATACGTTAAGAATATTGCACATAAGATAATTTTAATGAAAGATAAAATTAATTTAAAAAATGTATTGGGATCATACATTTTGCATACAAACAGCAATAGTATATAGCAATTTGAACCAATTTATGCATATAAATGATTTCATAAAGTTTTCTCTGGAGGGTATTTGAAAATACATCACATTTCATTGCTATCATATAAAGCAAAGTTACAGTTATCTAGCAGAACATTTATATAAAAATGGAAAATATATTATTATGATTAATAAAAATTTTCAACACGGTCGTTTAGATGTGGAAAGTTATTATACGCAAGCGCAGTGTCAAATTCAAATATTATAATTTTAAAGATGGTGACGGCCTTTAGATACAAATATTTTTCTGAGTAGCAACAACATTTTTCAAGTTTTACTTCGTAGTTATTATTTGCATATTTTTGATGGAATGAAATAATAATAAAGATAATTGAATTGTTGATTCAAAAATGATAAAAACAATATAAAGATCTTTTAGTATATAAAAAACTGTGATTCTCTGTTACATTTATCTGACTGTTAAAAGCGTGACTTGTTTACATTTTCAAAACTCTTTTTCTAAAAATCTGAGCGATACAATTTAATAATTTTCACTTTTTTATTTCGAATAGTT